TTGTAGGGACAGTAATTACAGGTTGTGAATTAGAAAGTTGCCTCTGCAATAACTCTTCACCCATTTCGCTCGAATGTACAGGTATTGACCTTTGCGACGAAGTGGGAGACGGGTAGACTGCAGAAAAGTTGTTGACGTTCGATGTCGAGGGAGGACTTGAGGGTGATAGGAATGGAGTGAGACCGCTGGCCGCTGGCATTTGATTGACTTGTTGTGGTTGAGTTAGGGGTGGTTGTTGATAAACTTGTCGTCCGGAAGCTAGATCGTTACCTTCTGGGGATAACGACGGAGAAACCAAGGGTTCGTCGTCCAGCAACCGCAGACCAGGGGGAATGTCAAAGTTAAAAGGTGTATTTTGCCAATGTGCCAATTCTTCGTTATTTTCACGTGATAAGACGTTAGTGGTGAAGTATCGATTGTTGTAGCTTGAAAACATTGTTCCCGCTGTCCCAATTCGATGGGGTCGTCTTTATTGGAGAAAAAACCTTCGAACAATAAACTGTTGTGTAAGATTTCATATTTTATATATGAATTAACTTTGCTAATCTCCTCAAGTTTCTGCGGCAAATTATATTTCTGCATAAAAAGCAAAACATATCCAAAGGCAAGGCATGTGCGGTTTGTCATACCCGAGATTTTTTGTTATATTAAAATAGTTTGGTGTACGTGAAATAAAAAAAAATAAATGAAAGATGGTTAGTGACAATTGATAGATGATAATAGATCATAGAAATAATAGATAAGATATTGGTAATTTTAACGCGTTCGTATTACAATTTATCTGCTTTAAGCATAAAGCAGGAAAGTCGCACGGTTTTCATCCAATCCGCTTTAATTAAAATTTCACCACCGAAGTGGCAAATTGAGTCCTAAAATCACACCATAAAATGGCATTTCGAAGTTGACATAGTATTTCTTGCATATTAATATGTCCAATGGAACTCTGTGTAACGAAGTTTCAGATCTACTAGCATACCCTTCAAAGTGATTGTTCGGTCTCCGACGTCGTGTTTAATAGTCACTCGTCCAATATACTAATATTATCGCGCAGGGAACCTGTTGTCGAGAATTAGAATTTTTCATGTCACGGTTACTCGCATTCACTTTCGAAGTACAATTTGGAATACCATTCTCAATACAAGAGGGAGCAACGGTGTTAAAATACTCAGATTTTCACCATTTAAAGGATTAATACTTGTGTCCTTTTATGGTAATCAAAGTATTGTTAAATATGCTGTGAAACTTACTATAACATGTAGTAATATTGTAGGCATGCAGCAAAATTCCACCGTTTGGGAAAGCACTTGGAAACAAACGCATGTCGTCATTTACCTGG